CTATTCCACCAGAAAGCCTTGGCTCTGAGGCATTCCTGGCTTAAAGGCTCTAGCTCTGTGGGTTACCAAATCTAGCTCCTCCCATGTGCCTGGAGGCACCCTTCTCTGCCAGTAAGCCTCCTGTCCAAAGGCACTCAGCTTTCTCCTCCATGAGTCAGTAGGCCTAGCTCCACGGATGAGTGTCTAGAGGCACCCTACTCCTCCAGCAAGCCTTCTGCCTACAGGCACTCAGCTTTCTTCCTCTGGGCTGGGAAGCCCACCACTCTGTTTTGTACTGGTCTCTTGATTCTGTTGCCTCTGCTGCTGCCCTTTCTCTGCTGTTACTTCTTGCCATCTCTGGTGTCACAGATCTCTGTCTCCTAGATCAAGAAGTTCAGCATAAGGATCTTGGGTCCAAAAGATGTACTCCACTCCTGTCTCTTCTTTCTTGATGGTAGTGAGATATCCCCCTTTCCACCTCTGGGATGGCTCATTTTAAGCCTAGTGAGATGGCAAAACTGACCAATCCCCATGTTAGAATTCCATACACCTTACTTGCATAGTTCTACACCACCAAGGGTGCCATGCACATTATTGTTATCATTAGAAAGCTATCTAATTCCCTTGGTGGGCACAAGCACCTTACAGTTGCATAGTCCTACCCAGTCATTTGGTGGGACTGTGGCTAGAAGGGTCACACCAACTAGTTTACAGCACTATACTCTGCCACTTTACTATTTGTGAGACCTTGGGCAAGTTAATTATCCTCTCCTGTAAGTTTCAGTTTTCTTATCTATGTAGGAACTTAACAGAGTATCATACCACTCAAATGTTAGTGGCTATAATATCATCATCATCATCATCATTTTAATTTATGATTGTTAAGGACAAAAATCCTTTTTTATTCTTAGAACCTGGCTTAGTGTTTTACAATAGTGTAGATAACATTAATTATGTACCCACTATGGATTTTCTGATGGTTATAATAAAAAATAAAATAAAAATCACTGGTGACTGGAATGCAAAAGTTGGAAACAAAGAAGAATCACCGGTAGTTGGAAAATTTGGCCTTGGTGACAGAAATAATTCTGGAACTTGCATGGTAGAATTTTGCAAGACCAACCACTTGTGCATTGCAAACACCTTTTTTCAACAACATAAATGGCGGCTCAACATGTGGACTTCACCAGATGGAACACACAGGAATCAGATTGACTACATCTATGGCAAGAAGTGGTGGAAAGGCTCAATATCTTCAGCCAAAACCAGACCAGGAGCTGATTGTGGAACAGACCATCAACTGCTCATATGCAAGTTGAACTTGAAGTTAAAGACAATTAAAACAAGTCCAAGAGAGCCAAAATACGATCTTGAATATATCCCTCCTGAATTTAGAGATCATCTAAAGAATAGATTTGATGGAGTGAACAGCAACGACTGAAAACCAGAAGAATTGTGGGAGGTTATCAAGAACATTATCCATGAAGAAAGCAAGAGATCACTAAAAAAAAATGAGACGAGAAGACCAAAGTGGATGACAGAAGAGGCTCTGCAACTTGCCCTTGAGCGGAGAGTAGCTAAAGCAAATGGAAGAAATGACAAGATAAAAGAGTTGAACACAAGATTTTAAAGAGCAGCTCAAGCAGACAAAACCAATTACTGTAATGAAATGTGCAAAGACCTGGAGTTGGGAAACCAAAAGGGAAGAACACGCTCGGCATTTCTCAAGCTGAAAGAATTGAAGAAAAAATTT